TGATTAAATGAGACGGTCTCTTCTGCCCTGAAACTCTGTGAGCCCACTTCATGGTGGGTGTAGTGCACATGAAGCATTCAGTAGCAGCAGCCAGGAAATTAAAAAGTTACACACTCGAACTTACTTTAAGGGGGCCAAATCCTTATCACTCTATCAAAGTCAATGGAGACACACCAGCATAAAACTGGTGTTACAGAGCAGAGAGTCAGGCCTGTGAATTTAACAGCCATCTTTATGGGGATGGAGGTGGGGGAAGGATGTTTCTTTCAAAACAAAAAACTGGACTACCGCTATTCATTACCAAGGGATAAAAGGAGGTGCAAGGTCCTAGCAGGTGTAAAGTGGTGTAACTTTGGCTTCCATGGAACTACTTTGACTTACATCAGTTGATCTAGCTTTCTTCAGTAGTATTAATGCTAGTCAACTAGAACATATGTTAATGCTTTTCAAAGCCTGGCTTGGTTGGTTTGTTTTTTAAATAAACCTTCCTATTCATCTAAAGTGAGCTTATAGTTGAATATTTTACTAACATGAGAAGTTCTTGCGCATTCTAAATTCAGTTTATAAACCAATCTGTTAACAATGAGTTTCCAAGATTGCAAAATTACTCAATTACCTGGATTAAATGGGCAAAAGAGATTTTTCTTTGCTAATTCTTTTTTTAAACACATGATTTCTTCTGGTCAAAACCTATTTCAAATGCTAATTAGAATTTTAAATGCAACTGAGCAAATAATTATAAAATGCTTTATAAAAGCTCTGAGCGCTGTTCAGAGGCAAGCAGCTAACTGGCACATCACTTATGTGGGCAAAATGCTGGCATATGCCACACATAGATATTTTGACTGGGATTTTTGGCGACATCAGTCAGGTAGGGAATTGCAAATACCCTAATTAGTAACAAGTTCATTCCCAACAGAGCCAAATGACTCCTAACTTCAGTGCACCTGGGAAAGAGAAATCCTCGGAGGCTTTGCATGGTTCAGCTGCGGTAATGGAGTCTGAGGCAAGAAATCAAAAAATAAATTGTAAATAGAAAACAAGAACAAAGAAGCAATTTCTCCATGGCCCTCCCTACAATGCCTTAAAAATCAATGACCATTAGACAGGATGGGCAGGGGTGGTGTCCCTAGCTTCTGTTTGCCAAAGCTGGGAATGGGCAACAGGGGATGGGTCACTTGATGATTACCTGTTCTGTTCATTCCCTCTGAAGCACCTGGCACTGGCCACTGTCAGAAGACAGGATACTGGGCTAGACGGACCATTGGTCTGACCCAGTATGATGGTTCTTATGATGATGTTGTGTCTAAATAGCCGAATCATTTTTTAACTTCAGGAACTCAAACCAAGAATCCCTGTCTCTCATCTTTGGGTGTCTTAGGGGGAGAGGCAGAAAGTTGTCTATACGAGCTGTCTTAAATCTTCCAGATGTACACCTCAATATAGATGGATTCTCAAGTGGAATAGAGAGTATGGACAATGGGGGGACATGGCTAGGGCACCCCACACCTCTACAATACATGGCTATTGGAATGGCTCTAGTAGCCAGAGGCAACTTAGAACAGCCTGCAAACTGTATGGAATGCGCATTATCAACATCATTCAATCTTAATAGCATTTATCTCATAGCTTAAAACTGGGTTATCCTACCCCCCCCCCCAGAAAAACACAACCCAGTATTACTATAGCAAAATAAACTAAGGCAGTTCTGTCCCAGCCTCATTTGGGTGCATAGCAGCAAACTAGAAAATGTGGGTAAGATTTGCATACATGGGTGCTGAATGGAATTTGGGACCCCAAGTTAGGTACCTAAACTGAGAAGTTGGTGGCTTTTTCTGCAAGGGAGCATTGCATAACTACACAACATTATGTCAAAGTAGTAGCAATCCGAGGTTCACATTATGAAGTGCCAGCAGAACATGACACTATGACTCTGTTTCCAGTGGTTAAAGTAGACTGAAACTTAAGGAGGCCCCCTCATTACAGAAACCAAAGACAAGGGGGCACGGGCCGCACGGTGGGGCCTCATTGTACCCCAGGCAACGGAGAGGAGCAGGAGCTCCCTTCTGCTTTTATCAGAGAAGGGGGAGCTGTGATGGATAATCTCAGTCAAAGTTTCAGTGTGGAAGGTAGAAATGAGCTGAAACCCATGGCTTCATCTCTAACCTCACTTTGTGTGTGCATGAAATAACATTCACAGATGTGTTGCAATGGTTGTGCCTGCCATCCACTGGCCAGAAAGTGGAGCTGACATGTCCAAGGGGCCTTGTCTCATTCCAGGTCTTGCTGTGTATGCATCTTGCAAGTCACCACAGCTGAGACTTGAACGGTGCCCTAAAGACCTGCTCCCCCAAATGAGCTCCAAAGGTGCCTTTCTGAAGCTGATCCAGAAGTTCTGCAGAGCACGTCTTGGGTGAAAGTTGCTCTTTGAGCTACACAGAGTAATGACTCCTTTCTCTCTAGCACAAGACTCAAGCAAGCAATTGTAGAGCAACAAAGGTTGTTGGGTCTTAGATACCATTAAGTCACATTATAAACAAGATGATGATAGATGGGGTGAGAGCACAGGTTTCTGTCCTCAAGATGTCATCCAGTGTTTTGATCTCATGAGATATGACACAACGCTTTAAAAACTATATCACAGTAATCTAGCTAATTTCAATTCAAATCTACACAAAAAACAGTACTAGAGGTTTAGGCTTTATCTCTTTGGTAATATTTTACACACAGCTGCCGTTGCTTAAATAGAACTTTCCTGCTAAAACTTACAAAGTCCCATTTCAATTCTCTGTAATTTTTTTATTCTTGTCAGCCAGTTTAAAGCACTCATTCAGCTATAATTTCTATGATTACTGTAGACTGAGAACACTTTAAAGTATTCAGAAAGTCTGTTTTGACTATCATTATATGCAGAAAGAAAAGGTACTACATGCAAGAGGCCATTTCATTCAGATGAACAAAACTAATTGTACTATAAAGCCTTATGTACATTTTGTCATAAAGTAGTTTGTGTTAGGGAAGGCAAAGGCAAAGAAATGCAGAGTACATGTACCAGATACATGTGTGTCTGCATAATTTTTAAAATTCCAAAACAAAACACCCCACTGCACCCAATTCTCACAGGAACAGAATGAGAGAAGAAATCCATGACTGATATTAGTCATCTTGTTTAATGCACAACTGGAAGGCCCTCAGATACTATGGTGAAGAGCACAGTATAGGAAATTCTATAGAGTAGAATATAAAGGACCATCATTTCAAAATTGGGAGCTGAAAGTTATATACCTAAGTATAGTTTTAGGAGCTTAAATGGTCATTTTATTCCATTGAAATCAATAGGGGAAAGATGCTCAGAACCTTTGAAAATAAGGCCACTTTTATTTAGATGCCTAAGAACGGATAGAGGAGCCTAACTTTTGTCACCCACGTTTGAAATTTGGCCTGACGGGTATAACTGCAGCTTGTGTAGATATACCCCAGCTAGCTTTACCCTTGGTAGATTATGAAGAGCTGTGAAGATATAGCCGCACAGGCATCACCATAGGCTGGCTATATGAGCACTTACTTGGAGTTCAGGGTGGACTTGTATAGCCCTCAGTGGAGCTCAGGCTGCCCTGGCTTCACTGCTCCAGTCCCTGAGGTAAGGAGATTAGAGCCAGCTCGAGTACAGCAGTCGCTCCCCGGGAGTGCAGTGTAAAGGTACCGATAGACTACAGTGATGCTCAAGAAGGGGGAAAAGTCTACTTTGGTTCCTCTGGCATCATTCTGTTTGCAGATATGTTTTACATTTAGTTTGCAAAAAAAAAATCCAGAGTTTACAATTGCTTCATGCTATCCGCTTTCCTGACAGCTGAATTATAATAATTTTAAAGTCATTGGTTTTGTTCGTACTTAATAGGCATAGGGAAGTGTTTAAATGCAAAAGCAGTTCAGTGGGACATCTGGTCACCAGACTATAAAAGAGAATTCTCTAAGGCCAAATATTAAAAACTCTGAATTTTCCAGTAGGAAACATCTCCCTAAGTACATGTAAACTCAGCATATGAGTGTGAATTATGAAAAGATTGCTTTAGTTTATGCAACTTTAGCCCCTGGAAGCAGCAACCTCTAAAAGCTTACTTTATTTGGTATAATCCTGTCAGAGGATTTGGCTATTCTTCATTTCCCTTTATGAAGGTTTCCGTTCTGAGCACCAGAAACACAAATCTATAACCTTAGCAGAAACAGCCGTAATATCAACAGGAGAGAAATTAAATATGAGCAAGAGTCCTCCAGGCTATATTTCCCATGCTTGTCATATCACATTGGCACCTGTCTGTATGATCTCTTCAAATATTGCAACTGCTACAGCATTATTTTTATGATTATTAAACTCACAAGTAGACACAGCAAAGAGGGCCATTTCCTGTTCAGTTAACAAACCATGTCCTGTAGGTCACTGAATACCTTCAGTAAGGCGATTATCTGTAATGCCTGCTTGAGTTAGCAAACCTGTAATGCCCATTTGCAAGCAGTTAGATACATTATAGTAAATATTACTTTTGCAAAAAGACAAAATAAATCCCAATGGTTTTGTGTAAATCTTCAGGTTGGTCAAATGTGTGTCTGAATAAAAAATATCGGTCCTAGTTCTCAACTGCTTTGCACTTTGTGTTATTACATACACCTCTGCAGAGAGAATGCAGAGTAGTTGTGAAAAGCTACCAGACCATAACATGGGGGCCTGATTCTCCACAGCCTTGCTTCTTGTACCCTACTTTGTACCTGTGCAAAGTTTTTGCAAGGTGGATATAAGTGCTCGTTCTGTTTTGCAACCACTTTGCACAGGTCTAAATGCAGACAGGCTATACCTGGGAGAGGAGAATCAGGCCCATAATAGCCCCCCCCAAGCCTCTGGAACAAATACCAAAGAAACCAATACTTAACCTCACAAAGTAACCAAACTCCAGCGGCCACTGTGAGTTTGCCTATTGACTGACACAAGAAAATGCAACACTTACCCAAGGGTTGTCATGGTTACAATAGTGTACCAAAAAGAAGCTGGTATGCTGGTGAATTTGCTGGCTGAAGACCCTTTCTCTGCATAAAACATCACAGTAGCAAAGATGATGATTGCCATAGTGAGGGAAAAGAGAAGAAAGCCAAGCTCCGAGGCACAGCTCTTCAGCGTGTAGCCCAGGATTCTTAAGCCTTGGGAATGGCGTGAGAACTTGAAAATCCTGAAAACCCTGAAAACCCTTAGTGTTACAAAGGCTCCGCTGACGTCCTCATTGTTGGTCATCACCAAGCCAATGTAATAGGGCATGATGGCCACCACATCGATGATGCTCATGACACTCCTCATGAACCTGTAGCGACTCGGGGCTGCAAAGAGCCTCATAAGGTACTCAACAGTGAAAATCATAACGCAAGCTGTGTCCAAGCAGAAGAAAGCCACGGCGTACCTCTCCCCACATGGAAGCTCCTTGTTCCCAGGCACTGTGCCACATGGAACAGTTTCCACCACGTTAGTGATCACTGAGACCGCAATAAAGAAGCCAGTGACGTAGTAGAACACTAAGGCTAAGGTGCTGGTGTGGGGGTTTTCGAAGGCTCGCCACATGGTCTGCCGGAGGTTCAAAGACGGCATGGACCCTTCTTGGTTGTTCTCTGAGTCATTGTCATCCATCAGCCGCTCAGCGTTTTCCCGCTTCCTGTCTTTGTACTCTTCATAGCAGCAGTCCCCAATGATTTCAGGTAGGATCCCATAGAAGGCAAGCTCCTCGTCATAGGCAGAGATGCACTCATACCTTGGGTAATGCAGCTTGCCAGTTCTGTAAAAGTTTAAAATGCACCTAAAGACTTCAGGGTCCCGGTCAAAAAAGTATTCCTTGGTGTCTTCATTGAAGAAGAACTCCTTTTCTGTGCTGCCCAGGAGCGTGTCCGGGTACCTCTCCAGTGTAGTCCTCCAGGTCTGGAAGCGCCTCCCACTCACATTCAGAATGATCAGCTCATCCTGCCTCTTGTTTTTCTCAGTTGGGGCCAATGGCATAGGGCAGTTGGCCACTGGCATCCATCCTATGGCAGCTGCCCTGGCAAAGGGCAACCATGCTGCTACGCCTGCCGCCATGATGGCTTCAGGCCTCAATATGGGAGAAGACCGTTCTTCTGCTTCTAAAAGGAGTATGGAGTCAGATCAGTTCCATCTAAAAATATAATATAAAAACAGTCAATGGGGGATGCTTTGCCTTCATTATTTGTTTCTAAAAGACAATATTAAAACAACCTGGATAGCGCATAGGAGCTTTGACAACTGAAAAACTAAGCTGTTATAGCCTTCCATTTAGGAGAATAATCATTAAAAGATGCACATGATCCACGTGGGAAGGTTATGGCATTATTATAGATTGAAATTTTGACTAGCAAATGATTCCTCTTTAAAAGTAGCATAAACATGCTAATTTAACTTCCTTACAAACAAGACTAATTCATGATTCCACAGGTGTAATCATATGTTCATCACAGCTGTCAAAAAAGAATTGGGAACTCTGATGAAAAATGCTGGGAGTTCACCCAGTGGGATTACTTAGTACTAAAAACCCTAAATAGATCAAGTTGGACTTCTGTTAAGCAATAAACAACCCTCCAACTACAGTGAAACTTGCACTAAGGACTATGCCCGTTGGTAACCCTCATCTCAAAAAACAAATTACAATCTTCCATGGTTTGCAGTACAATTTTGTTCAACCTTAGTTAGAAACCTCTGGTAGGCTACAGATGGTTTGATGTCCCATGAGTGGTTGCTTGAGACAGGTTTTACGGTACTGAAATATTGCACTACTCCAATGAGCAAGAGAAAAATTCAAACTCTACTGGGCATGGGCCTAGGGAACATTGTTCAGGATGTCTGAGCTTCAGAGGTGTCTGTGGTGGGGTGTGTGAAAAGGAACCCACTGAGGGTTAAACTATTAACAGTGTCTGATCAAAGAAGAGAAGATCAAACTGGATGAAGCATCCAAACAAAACCTTGTCATCTTTCTTTTACCAGAATGTTACCTTGACTGTCTAACAAAGGCAAAAGTCTTTTAACCAAAGGGTGGAGTGCATTCACTATAATGCCATTATTAGAGGCCCATCTAATGGAGGAAAAATATCCCAAACTCAGATCCTCTGCTGGTGTAAATTGGCATAGCTCTATTGAAGTCAATGCAACTACACTGATTTATAACAGTTTAGAATCTAGCCCTGAATTTTCTTGTTCCTTTCTATAGTCAGGCCTCTTGCTTTATTTAACCTTTTTTGTCATTTGTCTATGCTTTCACTTCCTTAATGTTTCTAACACTGCCATACAAATATTTGGTGAAAGATGTCACATCATAGAAGCAGTACTAGGGGACCTACCCAAAGTCTGTTAAGTCAATGGAAAGACCCCCATTGACTTCAGTGGCCACTGGGGCACGCCCTGGAAGCTTCCTTAGGGTAAATAGTATTATTCTCTGTAATTCTACTACAAAGTATCTTAATTATATGAATAGTTCCATTCCAGTTACTGGGGCTGTGGCATTATTGATCTCAACAGGTCATCAAAATACTGAATGAAAAATAGTAGTGGTTTCACCACAGGTTGATTCTGACTAAACTGCTCACAGAAGATGCTTTTCTTGTGTAGTAAGCATTAACATGCTTCATTTTAATACAAAGCATCTTGCTGTACAATTTTGTTTCTAAAGGACAATTGAAATCCCTGGGGCAAGAATCTTACTCGTGCCATAAGAAGTTTGATAATTAGGATGTGTAGAATAAACCGTAGTGATGCTGCTCCTAGAAGGATGCTGTCGGTACGGTAGAGGTACGAGAACCCCTATCCCACATTATTTTATTATGCAGGGTTCGTTCAGCATTACGATGCATTCTTTTGCTCCCTTATTCTAAAAAGTGAATTAGTTCTGTAGAAAGGTGACATGGATACCTTTGGGGACTGGAGTCCTTTGTTCATCCCCAGAACAGGCACAGCACAACAGTATAAACTTCATCCACATGGCTTCAAAAATGTGCCTCAATCCCCAACTGAAGAGACAACCTCTAAGGGCTAGCTGGACCCATCCACCAAAGCTGCCACTTTCTATCGATGGCAATGGTGGATTTTGTGATGAGGAAACTAAAACTAAAGAGAGGCCACCAAGGCTACCAAAGCCTTTCTAAGCTAGTACAATGCCATGGGATGGTAACAACTTCACTCATTATCCAGCTGGGTTAAATGGTGGATAAGTAACCAGGAGATCTAGACTACATATCCCCTTACCTATTCCCTAAGCAATACAGACCCCTTCTATGTATTTTTACCTAGAAAAGGTCTTATTGACAGTGAGGTCATTCTGCTGGAAATGTATGGAACATTCCTGGATTTTTGCAATAACACTGCTTGGGATCCTGAGTTTCTCTCAAGTCCAATGGGGCACCTCCTTACAAACTTCACACCCAACCCTGGGTGTGAGTGCCAGCTCACCTCACTTTGCAGCCAAAGGCACTATAAATGCTTAAATAGTTAAGACAACACTGATAACATTTGTAAGCCATTAATGAGTTAAAACCTTTGATTTATTTTTTTAAAAGTCCTTCCAGGCTGGCCGTGTATATGGAGAAATTTTAAACTGCCACTATCTGAAATGGCCAAGAAATTAAAACACACGAGGTGGCTGAGTATCTGTCCATAAAGGTTGATTACTCAATTACTGTATCTCAGGGGCCTCTTCAGCAGATGGACTTAAAAGTTCCTAATGTATGTGCTCAGGGTTTACTTTTCAGTTGTATTATGTCAGTATCAAAGTAGCTCTGTTTCTTATCCTAGATAAACAACGTGATGGAGTCCCTTTTAAAGATTCAAAAACAAAAGTTGTTTTGTGGCCAATTTTTGAGTGTGTTTATGTAAAGGAGGTGATGTGAGAAGTCAGGGGAAGGTGAAGTAGCTTCATCACTGAGGAATGGTTTCTTTTTGTCAGATTTTCAATCAACAATACCATCAGTGAGTAAAGGAGAGAGAGGTTGTGAACTATGCACACTAAGTCCATAGTGATAACATATAAAACATCAGATTTGTTAGCACCTTCATCTTGCTGCAAATTTCCTGAGGTTCTAATGGAAATACTTGAGTTCTTATAATAGCAAGCAATGGGCTGGTGGAAATATTTTGCACAAGCCACACTATTTTTTAAAGTAAAAGAAACAAATATATAAGCATATGTATTGTATATACATACTTACATACATTGTATATAAGTAAACACACATCACATACATGTTTATATGTATTTCAGTTCTGCTGTAGCTAATTTTCATGTATAATTTGAAAGAAACTAGTTAGTAAAGGTTAGTGGTGGCATTTAGAAAAGCTTGTGTATAAGATAAATGGATTTGGCTCTTTTGACTTAACGTAATATCAACATTATGGAAGCACCCAGACTTAGGGAAAACAAAGTAACTACCCTACCACCCAAACTGTATAAATAAAACTACAAGTCAAGCCTCTTATTTTCTAAAATGACCTTTTCCCTGAGCATGCCACCTTGCTGATCTATCTCTACTGGATGATGTTATTCCAATTTCAAAACACAAAAACAAAAGCTAGGATCAATAATGCATTGGAGGAGAATGTTGTAGAACAAGTTTGTCTTCTCACCCAAAGGTTGGGGGAAGAGGAATAACCAATGGTTTATCTTATTAACTGCTGCTAGCAATGTCAATCTTAAGAGATGCTCCTGGATATTCTTGTGTTAAAACACTGCATACGCTCATGGTGTTTTCTACGACAGAAGCAGATCTGGATAACTTTAACAAAATGATAAGCTATGAGTTTCACGATGAGACACGGATAACGGGAGCAGAGACAAGAGAAATAACCCTCGTCATACTGTGTCTTTCCCCGTTTTTTATCCTTTATGGGGGGTAGGCTCAAGCAGCAAAGATCTTTTCATTTAAAAGGCAAAATATGCCACTCAAAGCTTCAGCATCCTCTTTCAACTATATACTCCCCTCCCACCCATCAAACAATAAAACTACCCGCTCATGTTTGCAACTGATCAGTCAGCGAGAGGTTTACAGCAAAAGCATGGAAAGCCACAGCAACAGGCTTAGAATAAACGCGTGGAAACTTCTACCCTTCCACCCCCGACGAAAGGAAAAGCCCCATCTTGCTGGCTCACAGCAATGCCTTACCTTGCAAGGAAAGAAACTCTCATCCCCAAAATGCAGGGACTGATCTAGGGACCGTTGGGAAAACAATCCTCAGGATAAAGAGTGAATTGTGCTGTCTGCCTCTCAAACCTTTCTAAATGCAGTCAGGAGTAATCAGAAAGTATAATCAGTCCTGGGGAAGTAGGTAGAAATGACTAAACAGCGTCTCCCTTGTTATTGCTGAGGTTGAGTGAGTCTCTGTCTTCCTTCCTCCCCCCTAAGCTTGCTTATTTGGGGGGGGGGTCTTTTTTTTTTGGCATGTCCTTCAAATCCAGCTTTGCTCTTGCTGCCTGGTCAAGCTGGAAATGGTACCCAGTTGCTGAAGAATCCGCTCTCTTAGATGGAGCAGGGATCATGGACTGAGCCTGGAGTCCCCCCTCCCCCCCCCCCCTCTCTCTCGGAGACCCAGAGAAGCAGGCTGTAAAACAAGATGCTGGAGAGAGGCGGTGTGAGCTACCAGAGACACACCAGCAAATGGAGTCATTAAATACACACCAGTCCTGACACTGCATGCTAATGGGCCCAGCACAGGAAGGAGGAGGGGTATGTATGTGGAGGAACTTTAGCGTTACCTGTTAGAGCTTTTCCAGTTTGTTACCAGATCAGCCTGTCCCCCTCCCCATCCCCGCCGCACAGGGGTCTCTTCGGAACAAAAAATAAACTCTCTTCTCCATCGCCTCTCTCAGGAAGGTGGGGGGAGAGGGGCCAAATCTTTCTTGGAAGCTCCCCCGCCCCCCTTTATCAATGCAAATACCCGATCTTGCCTTGCCAGTAGGGCAGCTGCAGCGGGTGTTAGGGTCCGTCCCCGAAGCGGGGCCAATACCTACATGAAAGAGAGGGGCCCGGCGGCCGTGCCATGGTGCGTCATCTCCCCCGGAGCCGCCGAGGGTACTTAAGCCA